CCCCACCCCCCACACCCAATCCTCATGTGGATGCATCTACACCGCCTCCAGTTTAAGAAACTGGCTGCCTGGAGCAGCTCAGCATGCTTGAGGGTGCCACTACCAGGTGCCACACAGTAAGTTTCCCACATAGACCTGCCTTGCCTCAGCTGAACCTGTCACCAAGGGTGCTAGTTGGATTTGTGCTTTTAGTACGTAGCATTCTTGCTCAGAACCTCCAGCCTTATCTAGTCTCTCAAGTACCCTTCAGAGCCACCCCAGGTGTGGCTTCTAGAGTGGGATAAGTCTCTGACATCTTTATCTCTGAGACCCCTGGTCTTGCAGTGCCTGACCCTCCCTGGATACTAACTGCCCTCCCCAGGGTGTTACCTTCCAGTTCAGCTGCTGAGGAAGGAACTTTGTCTCTTCAGAGGGTAAGTGGTGCACCCTGAAGTCCTCAGCAGCAAAACGGACAGCTCCTTTTCAACAAAGGGCAACTGTAGCACAGCAAGCCAAAGTCATTGTATCCCCCTCTAAAGGATTAAGCAGTTCCTGTATCCCCAACCCAACCCACCCAGCCCTGGGTGCCCCAGAGCTGTTTCTCTCTCTCTGGACCCTCCTTTTCAGGCTCTTCTCTCCATTGTTTCATGCTAATTTCCCTGACACCCTCTTTCCCTTGACACATCTGAGCAGTAGGGCATCCAGGGAAAAAGGCTATTCAGGGTGCATACACACATGCCAGCTTTCTGACAGTTAAGCTGACTTAACTTTTTTAAGTTACCTTAACTGTTAGAGTGTATGCACATATGTGGAGCAGAGTTGACTTAAATGAGGCGTAATATAATATGCCTCCAAGGTGTATTAACTTGGGTTGTATTAGTTAAGTCAACTTAGCTCACAAGATGACTGACACCATGTCAAGGAGCTTTACATTTGTATGCTCTGACATAGCTAAACTTGTCAATATAGTTAAGTCACCTTGTTTTAAGTTGACGTATACATGCATATCCACCCCTTATTCTTTGTTGCTGGAAGTGTATCTTGTGTACCCTAGCACAGAGGCAGCTCTGGGTCCTAGTTAAGGACCCTTCTCCACTCCATCCCCACCCCAGGACAAGCTAGTGGGGGGGAAACTGAAGCATGCAACATTATAAAAAGACAGATGCATTTAAACCAGAAATATTACAACAAAATCATAGTCTGTCACAGGCATACTTTTTTTTATGGTAGGTAAGTAGTTTGGGGCCAAGAGCTTAGCCAGGTTCCTAAGAATTGGACACATGCATAATGAGATGCCCAGTTATCAAATGCAATGCCCATAAAGAGTTTTAGTAGAGACATAAAAGCTCATGCTTCAACCGTTTAAATCACTGTAAGGATTACAATTCAGGTGAGGCCTTCATGGGATCAGATTGGCTCATGTCAGCCTGTTGATTTGAACCGTCAGAGACAGGATACCAGACTGGGCAATACCTCTACTCCTATTTAAACGACAGTTCATGGGGACAAGCACATACGTTGTTAGTGCACCAGTGTATAGAAAAATTCCAGACAAGTGCCTTCCCTGTAGTACTGTGTGAAATTTCAGCAGCCGTTTCATTTTGGAGGTGATTTGGGCTGTTTTGGCACCTGAAACACCAAATCCAAATCAAAATGGAAGGCTCCAAAATAAAACAAGGCATCCAAAATGTTTCAGAAATGCTTCAGAAAATTTCAGAGTTTTGAAGCTGAGCTAAGCTTGCAGGGAAACAGCTGTACACTGCTGCCCTGCCACGTGACTCAGCTCCACAGGGATCAGAGATCCGCGCTGGGGGTCTCCTCACTGCTGCTGCCCGCCCCGTGCTGCCCTGGCTCTGCAGGGAGCAGAGATCTGCACCAGGGTTTCCTTGCCTGCCTGGAGAGGGTTTCGTTGCCTGCATGGAGTGGCCCTCCCCCAGACAAGCCACCCACGGTCCATCCTGCTCCCCACTGGGGCTGCAAGTCCCGCCCAGCTGGGCAGTAGGGCTGTGCAAAGCTTGCAGCCCATTGGAAACAGATTTGGAGGAGATATGGCTGAAACGAAACAGGACAGTGATCCGAAACACCGAAACGAATGACTGTCCTCTGAAACGGCCAAATCCAAAACTGAATTAAAACACAGCCGTTTCACACAGCCCTGCATCTTAGTTCCTATTGTCCACTAATGTTTTGTGTGTTGTAGAGCTTCACAGTCCTCACAGATGATAGTTTTCTTCCCAGAACAGAAGCTGGCATCTGAGCCCTTCCAGGCTGTTAGGGCTGCGCCCACACAGATTTACTGGCTGGACGCTGCTTTCCAGGCTGCATGCCTGCATTCCTGGCCATGTGCATGCTGCAGCTCTGTGCATGCATGAGGCATTTATCAGCGACATTATCGGCTACACCAGCCAAAAAAAGCGGATTGGCAATAATGTCAATTTTCCTTTTATTGGTGCCAGTCCAATATGAACCAATATCGGTGCACCCCTACAGGCTATATCTACATAATTCAAGGCAGTAATACCTGATCTCATTCTGCACATGCTCGCTCTGAAACCAAAAGAAGTGCAGCTGTACTAGCAGTGTTCTGCCAAGACCTACTTCTCAGCAGAACTTATTAACCTAAGTAAGCTGTCTTAGGTTACCGCTGCATTATACCTCTAGCACTGCATTACACCATAGGGCCCTACTACATGATCAAATTAAAGCTAGATAGAAACCAACTATAGAGCTGTTACACATTTTCAGGTACTGACTTTATAGTCGGTTGGCTCTTTTTATAGCTGGATACTCATTTTTATCATGTGATAATTACTTTGCATGTGTGGGTGGTCTAAATTTATTGCTCAATTAACCAGTTAATCGTGTGATATAAGTAACGTGTAGCAAGACCATAGAAACATGCCCTGTGTTCTAGTTTCTGTAGCTATAAAATGGAGATAACGTTTGCTCTTCATTCTGATGGTCTTAGAAAACTGTGGGTGAAAACTGTTATAAAGGCTAAGCATTCTCATGAGGATGTGGCACTCAGGCCTCTTGAAATCCTTGTCTCCTCACTTGATAGAAAGTACCTACCGTCTTTCCCCTATAAAATGGAATTTTAGAATAACGGCTGCTAGAGGTGTGTTTGTAATCTTTCCCTCATGTTCCTGATTTTTCTCTTTGCATCAGGTATCTGTACTCCCCATCTTTCATGTTAAGATGGTAGGTCTTCTTTGTAATTTGTAGTTTGGTTGCATAGTGATGCAGCACGGTGTAAGAGAACACAGAATACTCTCCTCTCCTCTCTGCTTTTATTTTCCAGCACAGCCTGTCTGCAGCTTAGGCCTTGAGTGAGGGGCCAAGTTAGTATCAGAGTCATTTTAAACAACAAATGACAGCGAAAGCAGAAGCAATATCTGGTATCACATGCAGGATCCTTTCTCAGCATCTCATCTCCTGAAAAATATCTTGCCGGTGATACGTGTGAAGATACTGTGAAGCTCCAAATGGCAGAGCCAGACTGTGTAGTAGACTTCTCTCATGTAACCCAACGCTGGCTGAATTTCAATGGAGCCCACAGAAGCTACTCTAACCATGATCAGTCATGAGGAAGGCCTTTCTGATATATTCTCCTTAAATTGTGGGAGTTCCTATCATCCTCTGAAATTGTTACTATAACTATTGTTATTAAACCATAGACTTTTCTTCTGGACTCTGCACAAGCTTGCATGGGGCAGATGCCAGAGACAGATTTTAATGATCTTAAAACTAACTGATAATTCCCTATTCCTGTGGGTTTTTTCAGGGCTTCTCTGTAGGGGAAAGTTTACCAATATATTAATATTATATCTCCCAAAGTGCAGACACTTAAAATAAGTGAGTTTCTTTTTGTGATTTTACACTGCTTTCAAAGCATATGAGCAATGTGACTCTTCCCTAGGCAACACAGTTTCCCAGGAGGCAGATACAAGGATATAAGGAGAGGAAATAGGGAATTCTTGATCTTTTCTGAGTGTGAAGGTTAGCTTGTATGTGAGATCTGGAGCTTCAAGATTATCTTCATGTAAAGTAGCTTCCACCTTACACTTTCAAGTATCTAATGGTATCTTACAAGGAATCCATACAAAATATTCACCTGAAGAAACAAGCCTTGCTAAATTTCCTTTTAAAAAATGTGGATTTAGAGTGGGTGTTTCCCTGTAATCCTGTGAGGCCATGTAAACAGCATGGCATCTTTAGACACTAG